GTACATTTAATCGAATATCTGACAAATAATAATTATATAATTGAATTTTAGAAGCTGCTCTTTCCAGCTTAAGCCATAACATGGTTTGGGTTCAAATAATGTTTTTATATACGTAGTGGAGATGTTTAGCTATATTTAATAATGTCAATTATGCATAAATAGAGCATAACAAATGGTTCAACTTTACATGTAAATAGATACAATGTGAAGTAGAATTAAGAAAAATTGATAGTTCTTTAGATGGAAATAATTAAAGACTTTCTTATAAACAACATTGAAATTCTAATAGTGTGGCGATCATATATCCTCATCAAGAATCAATATTTTCAACTTTTTTACTTTGAACACGAGAAATAACAACACACAATTGATTTGTGGGTGAAAACAAGACAAGGCAAGTACAATCTAACACGACACAAGCTTTGACTCTAGTTTTTATTAATGGTCGTATAAAAGGTCAATATAATGGAAAACTATCTCCTTCTTATAGTAAATAGTAACTTGGAATCATGTGGACACAGAATGCAATGCTCCAAAGTCTTAGATGAAATATTTACAATAATTTACAAGAACAAAACATTCCCACTTTATTATACAAGTGTCCTTCCAAAAACTTCTAAAAATCAACAAGATCTCCAAAAATAACATTATTAGGCCTAGGGCCCTTGAAGCCTATAAACAGTCTACAACAAGCCCACAGTTCAACAATAGGGAGCTTAAGTCAAATTTCATTTTAAACTAAATAAATACCATGAAATAAATTAGGTTCAACCCACAATTGCCTACAGTCCAACGACACATTTCGACTACTAGATTTTATAATATTTTCTCAAATGACACACCTCAAAAGATGTTTTGCAAATAATCAATTACTCAATCATTTCATTTATAAAATCATAGTCCTAGGTCATGGCAACAAATAAGTAAAATCACAAACCACATGTGCCAAGCTAAACAAAACAAGAAGTCTAAGCTCACTATAACTCTATAAATAATGGTAAAAGGTAGCATGTGAGATCTAACGTTGTAGTAACAATTGAATATTCTAACTTACACCAACATATTAAAATATCAAGTCTCAATTTTTCACATATAATTACACATCATCAATCAATTACCTTATTTCCTCATTGCATCACATTCAAGAAATCATTTCAAATAACCAAGCATGCTTGAAAGGGTAACAATTATTTTCAAAAAATAATTTTCTCAAACATCAATCATTTACAATAATTAACATGCTTGAAAAGGGTTAAAGTAATATATATTAATTTCGTATATCAACAAGCGTGCCAGATAGTTTCAATCATATTCTCAAAACAGAATAGTCAACAAGCCTCATGGCATAACAACATTCACATGCAATTATATACATGCATATAAAAGAACATACATCCCAGTATAAGAAAGAATATTTAATGTTATCTCTTTTCTATGCTGAAAAATAACCACAAGCAGCCAGGAAACCAATATTGGTAATCCACAATTAACCTACATATATATAATTATATTACACATGAATACAACTCTAATTAATGCATCAATAATCCACTATAATATTTTAAAGTCTCTCATTTTATCTACTAGGCTCAAACATTACTTTAATCTTCTACCAATTCCCAACCAAAAAGTCACTCAAGCCATTCCCAAACAAAACCTCCATCCATGTTCAAATTATCCAGACACTCCAAATTCTTAATTTCTAGCTCATTATCAATTCTCTTAAATCATAACTTTCTTTTCTTAACAATGTGTCAAAACATTCAAATTCACATTCCACTTCTAATAATTATTTATAAACCATAAGATCAAAATTTAACCAATAAAAGCCTCCACAATCATCAAATTCCTCAATCATTCTTTTAAAATTTCAATTTAAGCATTCCAAATGAATTTTACAAATTTCACACACCTACTAATATTTTATTCATTCTCAAATCACTTCCAAATACCACAAAAAAAAAACCTATAAATTCTAATTTTCACAATTGTGTAAAAAGTTCATTTTCAGAGTAAAAAATCAAGTTCTCCAGGAACTCAATCAAGACCAATTACCATACAAATTTAAACATAAGATCATTATTACTCAAATTTTATAACCAAAATGATTTCTTAGCTAAAAATGTTTAGATTACTTATATTGAAAATACCTAAAATTTTGCATTAATTCATCCAAAATTAGCAAAATCACTCAACTTGTGATTCACCTCATAATCAATTTCTAACAAGTATTTCTAAGTTACACATGATCAATTATCAAAGTTCCAAGTACTAATCAACTCTAAAAATTGAATTCCCTCCTTTTTACACTTAAGGCTCAATGTTAACATATCCAAATGTAAAAATCCAATCTTATTCATCAAACTGCACCAACTACATTTAAATACTCACTTATTTCAATAATCCTATAGTTTCTGATTGATGAAACTTAATACTTGCTCTTAGCTATAATTTTTAAACTTGCTTTGCTTCCCTCAATATTTATATCGCTAGAAAGATCTCATCACGTATGATAATTTTTTGTAAAGAGAGTTTTTGTAATTGGGAGGGGTTATGAGTACTAAATCAAGCTCAGAAATCCAAAACTCTTCCATGGACGCTCTCTCTCTCTCTCTCTCTCTCTCGGTTTCTTTTTTGAATTTTGACGGAGGAAGATGATGAATTGATGACTTTGAGGGAGTATCCATTAAATAGGTGCCCCCGTGTGTTGTGTAATGGGCCGTGGGCCCTCCATTTTTTTAAAGCCATAAACTTAAACTGGTTTTATGTGGATATTTATTTAAAGAAAAAACGAAACCTTTTAATTCATACATTTTATTCTTATTTTATTATGGGTTTCTATATTTTTCTTGATATTTTAAATTTTTACACTTTTATTTTTTGGTATTTTACATCATCCAAGATTCCTATACTTTATTTATTTAGGGATCTAGAATACTAAAAAATAAAAGTGTTGGGACTCAAATACTGAAAAAAAGTGTAAGGACTTGTAACAAACACGAACAAAGTATAGAGATTAAAAATATATATATTTCTCTTACTTAAATAATATTGGGCCTTACCAATAGGAGCTTGTCTTAGTGGTTAGGAACTTGAACAACTTAACTTGGGGTCTTGAATTCGAGTCCCAAAATATGCAGCAGCACAGCTAAGCATGCAAAGTATGTCTCACTAGTGCTACCCATAAAACACCCTCAAAGAGGCCTCATCTAAGCGAAAATCTAATTAGTCTAGAGTGGATTGGGCAGGCAATGAACCCAACATATCCAAACTTTTTAGAGATACCAGGTGCGAAAGCAAAAAAAAAAAAAATATTGTGGCCTTATAAATTCTCTTCTATAATTTTAAAAATAGCTAAGACTCTCTTAAAAATATATTGTAAGCTCGTGTATTTTGCTCAACTATTTTTTTTTCATAACATTTTCCTAATTATAATCTCTTAGCTAGCTCGGAGAAAATAATTTTAAAAATTAGACCCATCTTGAGTAAATTCCTCCTCCCTCGACTATTTACTTGGTAAAATAAATTACCGTCAAATTAAATTAATATTAATATATGTTTTTTACTTTCAATTTATTCAATAAATCAAATTCTAATATCACTTAAATGTTAAAACCAAAATATTAGGATGTTACACCCAACAATATGCTTATGTTGTATACATATTTTTGTCCCTTTATTTGATTCAAATATTTCTTGGGCCTCAAATTCATGTCTTTCAATTCTTATAATTATTAGACATGCATTATTTTTGCACAACTCCATATGAACTTAATAGTGTTATACATTAAAATAACTAGGGCACCCCTTTTGAGACTTATTTAATGATTTATGAGCCTAACATTGAAATTGAATTTAGAAAATATAGAGTGAAGGTTATCAAATGAATTCATATTTTCATCATCTTTTAAAATATTATTAGAGTTCAACTATATAACTTTATTACCACAGAGCAGAAACAACAAGTACTTATTTACTTCTTCAATTACAGTCAATGTACAATATAAAGAATTATAGATATTATTATATAAATATGAAAATGTCAAATTAACAATGGACTTTACTAAGTCATTTGAAGCATCCAATAACAAATCAATTTGAATTTTAATGTTCACATATCCTTAATTGACTCTAATAACAATCCCATTACCAATTGAAATAATTTAGTTAACAAAATCTTGAAAAGCACTGATAAATGCTCCTATATTTGTTGCCAAAAGTCTAATATTTCATGTTAATGTAAGAAGATGAAAATATATGAAAATAAATAAGATGATTATTAAAAATAAATAATTGGCTAGGCATTTTGATGCCTATCTAAAAATAAAATAATTATTGAAATATTAAAAGTATTAGCAAGGGACTCTATTTTTAAGCTAATCACGACTATTAAAAAATTGACTTTAGGCATTAAATTTTAATTATATATTTAATTACTTTCATTTAAAAATAAATAAAATTTTTTAATAAAATTATTTGATATTTAATATGTTTTTCATTTTAAGTTCATTTTCTTAACAAAAACAATATTTTATTGAAAAATATAATCTAAATATTTGTATAAATGTAAATTATTTTATCATATTAATAATAGAAAATAAAAATATATGTGTGTATTTCTAATAATATATTATTTTATACATGTGTGTAGTGAAATCACATATATTTAATTTCTCATACAATAACTGCAAGTACATTTAAGTTTAACTGGTAAAAAATGAAAGCATAAGGATTGGAGTGTAGAAGGTCAAATATTCAAATCTTGGCATTGGCATTGAACATTAAGAACATATGATATGGCAATGGAAGAGTGACAATGCATGAGCCGACATGCGTGATGAGTGACAAGACACGAGGTGGTAGGGTGATTTGGCATTAGATAGTCATTTTTAAATATAAATATGGTTAGTGAGAAAATTGATCCCCTGCTAAATTAGCGATTGAATGTTCAACGTTAAAATTAGTGAGCCTATTTTTTTACTATAAAATTAGTGAGGAATAAATCATCACTAATTTCTATTTAGTGAGAAATATATGCCATTTACTAATGGATTCATCTTTTGCTAAATTAA